GTCTACTTCTAAAACAGAGAAAAAGTTCATCGTTACATGTCTGGTTCCTGTGAACCGGTTTGCTTGATTCAAACCGGAAAATTCGGCCACAGAAAAGAAATATATTTGTCGTTTCACCAGATTTCGTGGAAGAGAGAAGCTGATATTCGCTGAGCTGGTCAGTAAATTCCGCTGTTTTGTTGTTGGAATCCGGAGTTTTACAGTCGTTGGAACATTTTATCAACATGAATCCAGTCTACGTCTCGTAGTCTTATTTAAGTCGCATTTTAATATTATCATATCTTGCGGTCTCATCGCTTCAGGTCTTCCGAAAAAAATTCTGTAACCATTTCTCATGTCACGTACCGATTGGTTTGTTTCGTCGTCGTCGTATTTGGGGGACGCCTCTCTTAAACTGTCTTCCGCCCTCGTAGGCCCAGGTTTGTAGTTTGTAGCCTTCGCCGGAACACGTCGGAATATTTTAAGCTTTTGTGTCGAAATTATTCTGTATTCGATCATTTGAATCTAATTTGCTTCGTGAAAAGACGTGCTTTGGCTCTGGGACACGCGAGGTCGCCTCATTTGGCAACTCGATGACGTTTAAGCCGTGGGTGCGTTACCAGCAGAGGCTGTACGTTGCCCCCGTACGTACGGCAGTCGGCGTCCGTTTCATACGGCGAGATGCGTGTGTTCTGCGAGTGCGCGCGACGTTTCGGAAGCCCGAACGCGTAAATACAGGTCGGCGAAGTTTAGAAGTGATTGATTCAGGTTTTTAAATCTGCTGTCGCCAATTTGCGATGCCGTGAGAAATTTATATTTCTCTCCTCCAACCCTCTTGGAGTTACGACGCCCGAAGCCAACATTTCTTAAAGACGTAACACGCAAGAACCCTGGACAAGTGCACGCAGGATTTTTACCGGAATTTACGAATTGGGATCTGAATAATCTTCGTTTTCTGTGGTTTCCGCGTTTGCCGGAAATCCAGTCGACACAGCGAATCAGACCAGTTGTTACTTACCATTAATACTCTAACTTCTGCGTACGATTTGAGGTTATAACAGCGGTGAGTCCGAAGATGGCTGTCCTCTGGGTTGTAGCGCTGTATAGTCTGGTAGAAGTCTACCGACGTTTCAGAGGTGGTTACTGCTTCCATCATCAGGGCAACGACCCAGAAGACAGCCATCTTTTTCGTGAGACGTGTTCTTTGTGTCCTGAACAAATGTCAAACGCGAGTGTGACCCTTTGAAGCCGAAGCTCGTCTAAGTAACATTTAATATAATTCAGCCCGTACCGCGAAGAAAACACTGCACTTCACCATTACAAAGATCAACCGAGTAGGATCTGAGGTTTTCAAGGCGGTGAGTCCGAAGATGGCTGACTTCTGGGTTATAGCTCGGTGTAGTCTGGCAGAAGTCTACCGACGTTTCGGAGGTCATGCTGCCTCTATCATCAGGGCGATGACTCATGATTGAAGCAGCAATGGCGTCTGAAACGTCGATAAACGTCTACCGGACGACACGACGCAACAACTCGGAGGACAGCGATCTTCAGACTCTTAATTCTGTTATTTGTTTAATGCGTTTCGTGTTTGTAGGCGCCTAATTTTGACGGAAGAAGTTGGTGTTGCTTTGTTCAGTGGATCCGTTTCTATGGCGACTTGCCCTGACGAGGCACAGCTGCGCTGGTGTTGGATTATTTTTCCGCGCCGACTGTACAACCTTTAAAGTACGTAATGCTGACGTCATTAGCAAGGTGTGGAGAGATTATTAAGCGTGTGTAATTTTGGGATCGCGGAGTCAGGAAAGAGACCCCCTGAGCTGTGTTTCTTCAAACTTTTATGAATGACTTCGGTCCTCGTCTGGCTCCGGAACACATTGACTGCTATAAATAACGCGGGAGAGGCCATGTTGTTTTCGTAAGGAATTTTTCACAGACTGTTCCGTTCCAAGAATAAGAAATGATGTTGGTTTAAGTGGCCGTGATTGTTGTTTTGTCACTGGTATGGAGTTCGGTTCTTTTAGCAGCGATAACATGGCGTCTACGTCACCCTCATCGGTCTCACAGTCCGGCAACCCGATTAAAAATGTCTTCAACGGTGTCCAGTCGCAGGCTTCAAGGTAAGGAAGGACGCGGAGTGGAGCTTTCAACAGTTCTGTCGTCTCACGAGTAAGATGCAGACTGCTGCTGTGGGCGGATTGCTTGCTTAACGTCTGTGTGCTTTCGTTAGTCGATTAATCGATTATATTACACGCTCTTAACTTAAGTCACGTTCGACTGAGTGCGAAATTGCCATATCCGCGGTAAAGATCTGATTTTATACGTTCAAGATTCACTCGTTGGTGATGTGGAAGCATTTGCGTTTGCAGTGACACTATTTCTCCGCATTTGGTTCGATTTCTAACTCGAAAATAATTTAACATGTTCCTCTCGCAAAATTTCACAAAAGGAAACACGTTCGATGCCCAGGTTTTGTAAAAAAAAAATGATTCTTTGTGACTCCAGTTAGTTGGCGAGGATAATTAGTTGAGAAAGAACGAGTTAAGGTCTGAAGGTGTCTGATGGTGGGTGGATAAAGTTCCTGTTCCGGAAGGAGGGAAGGTACACACAAAGAATAAATTCCAGGAAAATAATTTTAATTTTGGAAGGGGTTTTCAAGGAAAAGGGTTCTCGGAGTGATGGACCCTTTGGTCTAAAAAGGCTTCTTGATGCAATGTCTCTAAATAATTACGAGGACGGTAACTTATTTAGCCATGTTTTATACTAGTAATGTTTGATCTCTATTTTCGCTTTCGAACTCGCAGTATCTTGCGAGTCGCAGAGTTGATTTGTAGGCCGTCCATTTTAATTCTCTGCCCACAAAATGGCGTTTCAAAATAAATATCTTGTCAGAGATGACACACGTGTGGATGTTTGTTTTACTGTATCGTTCTGTGTACGTTTTGGAAAGTATTTTTTTATTAGTTTTGAGTTCTCGTCGGCTTCATCACAGTCGCTGTCTGCATGTTCCTTGTAAACACGTCTCCAGACAGTATTTTTAAAGTAGTGTGGGACTCGATCTACCGAGGGATAAATAGACGCTTTGGAAAAATAAGTTACGAGTCCCCCATTTTTCGGCACCCTGTACCAGAGGTTCAGAAGCTACAATTTACTAATTACTTGCTAATTAAAAATGTTTGGTAATAAACCACATTCTTTGTTTTTAGTTTGGGCAGTTAAATCAAGGACGCTGGTGGTTTGGGCATAGGAGGAAACATGAAACCCATGCAGAATTTTAGTAATTCTGTGTGTAATTTCGACAGTTGTTGATCAGAGTTTGGCATCCACGATTTTAACACACGGCGGTGTTTTAGCCACAGTTTGTAGTGTGGTCTGGATGACATTTCTGTGTACCGCTAATTACCAGCTGAACTGCTTGCCTGTGTGTTATTTGTCATAGCTGTATTCGGAAGACAGGTGTTTCGAAACACGAGCTACAGATGTTCTTGCAGTGTTGTAAATTGTCGCACGTTTTATTTGATGAATAGCATGCGCTTGTTTATGAATATCCAGGTAAAATTCTTTTAAAATTTTATGAAGGCTGCTAATTTATTTTAATCACCAATTTATCATATTTTTTGAATACGAAGTAAGGTTAACGGCTTAAACTTGCATATTGGAAATTAAGTGGCCGTCAACGCAGTAAATATGTTCTGTTGACAGTCACTTTGTTTTTGAATTCTTTACTGTCACTCAGCAGGATTAAAAAAACTGAAGATTGAACTGACATTGTTTTAAACCCGGAGCATTTAAATACCTAAATTAAATTGTTAGAAGGTTGTAATGGTTTGGTATTAATTTTTTTTTCCTCAGATTACAAACCTCTTTTTAAGTTAGGAACGTATTTTAAACAGAACGTCAAATTCTTTCAGTTCTTTGTTATCGTGAATATGATCATATTTTTTCTTTAAATTGTCTTTATTTTTCATAATGTTTTGCAATGTGATGCTAACTATTTGTTTAATCTTCCATGTGAGCATTAAAGTGTTCTATTTGTAGTGGATTCCATGCATCACAGTATTTTGCCTCCTGTAAAAACATTATTTTGTACATTCAGTCATGAAATTAAATATTTTAGGGTTTTTTTTTAGTAAACATGATTTTTTTCAAGGGACATGGAACGTAATTGCGATTTGTTGGCCCGCAGATAGCAAAATGTCATGAAAACTTTTTGGTGGCTTCTTGCCAAAGGCTTACTGCAGTGATCTTGGAAGTTTGCGGCTTTTTTAAACCTGATGACCCAAATATACACTCACCGCATGTGTCATTCTGTCCACATTTATAAATATTCAGGGTTTTGGTTGTCTAATTAGAGTTTAATGCGTGTTGCATACTAAGAAACAGGATTTAGGAGGAGTTTGTTGACTGGTGGATGCGGGGTCAGTAAAATGTATGGAAGAATTCCTGTGGATGCAAGGAGCGGACTCTCTTATTACTAAATTCATCAAATGAATTCAAATCTTCTTTTGAATGTGTCGAAGTATCTAACTTTAAAAAAATTTTGCTTTGTAGATTTGAAGAAAACAGTTTCTCCGTTCGTGTCTAATCTATCCAGGGACCTTGTGGCATGAAGCAGGAGCCCTATTTTGTTATCTTTCAGAGGGGGGCCAGTATTGAAGCTTGGTCAGTAACTGGTATCCTCCACAGTAAAGTTTAAACATGTCTGTGCGGAATAAAATGTTTCTTTTAATATGTACGCAGAACTAAATATAATAACTTTTCTTCCCACGCTAGAAATGTACATGAGACTCAGGTTGTAGTTGTTTTAATAAAGGAAGTTCCACTGAACCTGCTGTAGAAGCTGTAATTTTTCACGACGAAAAATGAATCAACCTCGCACGATTCTCAAAGCAAATGTAATTGTCGTTTTTAAACTCTCTTGGGTTCTTACGCAGATCCTGATTTGGTTTCAGGTGGTTCCGGCATATCTCAGAGGCTGCCGAAGCGTACAAGACCCGGGACGGAAAGAATCGTCGCCCCGAGTCATCTGGACTCCAGGTGCCAACCCCTGATAACGAGGCATCTGAAAATTCACAGGACAAAACCAAAGAGTGAGTAATGAACAAATACTTTTATTTCCATTGTAAAATCTAAGTACTTTGTTTTCTCCAGGAATATCAGCGTTATTTGGGTTCGTGCCAGATACACAGTGTGATAATGGAGGGCGATATCTTTGGCAACCGAATTGGTGAAGTAACTAAAAAGCCGTGGTTGGTACAGCAGGGCGGGGACTTTTCTTGGACAACCTTGTTTTTATTTTTAAAAAAAATCACTAATTATCAGTGTATTGAAAACAAATATGAGCATTTCAAGGCTCTAGTTTTTCTGACATCTGGGTAGACTCTGGGTGCGATTCATCATGCGTGCCACAGCTATCACGGACAAAGACAGATTCGGGTATGATCCGTCCAATCGGTCAGATATATTAGATGACAACACGAGAATGGAAGCTGGTTTGATAATAGGGACAGACCGTGATTTTACAAAAGATGATGACAGCCAGAATTGCCAAATTGCGAGGGAGTTCATAGAAATTATTTACTTCACTTCAAGAAATGTAATGGCGGCTTATTTTGCTTTCTCCAAATTGTTTTTCCTCAAAAACATAATCTGAATCAGTACTGGAAGGCAGCGGCTTCATGCATCTACACTGCATTCAAAGAAACAAGACGGTCTCTGTAAACAGAAGCACTTGAACAATCCCGCCACGGCTGGTAGTCCGAGAAGAACGCCTTCCACACGTTTCGCGCTCCTCCCATCTCACTCCTCTCTTCGGCGAGGAGTGCGGACTATGAAGCCGAGCATTCTGCAGTTCTATTTATCCTTCTTTGACTTCCTCGTCTCATTTTTCTGTTCTTAAAACATTCTGAATCGCTCTTCGTGATGAGCCGAATTTCACGTTCATACTCTGCAATTCGAAGCATCACCACGGTGAAGTGTTTTGCGACATTCCTTTCAGCTCTGATGAGACCACCAGTGAAGCTGTGAAGGAGCCAAGTGACTTGTTGGTGCCACCTGGTGGCTGTAGTAGTGCTTCGCAAGATGTTGAATCAAGTCCTGTATCCACATCAACCAATGATAACGCTCCGTTACCCTCCAGTGAATCGGCACCGACGACACCTCAGGCCTCCCCATCTTCAGTACCTGGAGACAGTGGAGAATCTCATGCGAGGAGGATGGGTAAGCGTTTCTTTATGGGAGATGTTTTGTGTGTCGAAGCTTTTTGTATTTGTTATAATATGGTGGGATAGGAATTTGTAAGCATTTGTTATGATTTGAGGTTTTAAACTCTGGTGATTCCAAAGATGGCTGTCTTTAGGTTGCAGGGCGTCGTAGTCTGAGTAGAAGTTTCCCAGCGTTTCAGAGGTCCTTGCTGTCTCGTTCATCAGGGCGATGGAGGCACCAAGGACCTCTGAAATGTTGGTAAATTTCTGCCAGGCTTTGCAGCGCTACAACCCGGAAGACAGCCATATTACAAGCTTTTGACTGTTTACAAATCTGAGTGAAGGTTTATCAGAACTTCGAATAGCTTGCGTCTGCCAGTAACCCTCATCAGCAGCGTGCTCTCCTGCCCTATATATAAAGCTTATGCTTCATGGATCAGCTGGTAAGTATTTAACTTTTGCGCTACATCCAACACAGTGAAAGCCGTATTGAAAATTTATTTGTTAACAAACAGTAAAGATCCATCAAAATTAGAAGCAAAATAATGTAATACTAATAAAATAATAGCCTGACACCCATGATTTATCTACCACCGTGAGGTCAAACTTCAGCTCCGTACTGAATTTGACTCGTTAACTTACCGACATAGGCACGGCACAAGGTGACCACTGCCAGAAGGAAGAAATTTATCAACTCTAAACTATTTTTGCAGTCAGAGGACGAACATAAATTCAGAAAGATCCTGCTTGTTCATAAAACACGCAGGTTATTCTAAAATGGAGCAAGGCCTGGTGAAAGGAAAAGGCTGTTTGCACATGTAGACGTGTGTTCACAAGCAATACACGTGCAGTAAATAAAAGTGTGCCTCCAAGGGACACGCAGTTTACCGATGTGGGACGACCTCCCCGTCCAAAACATGACGCCGTAGTCCGAAGTTTAAGAATGGGGAAGACTGAAACCAAGGTTAGCCGCGCGTTGGGAACGTGATTTTATCGCGGCTGCCACTTACGCAGTCCATATTTCCCGTGAACACTGATCTGAGGTGCACGTTCACAGCTTTTTCCTAACTTGTGAGAGCTGCCCGCTTCCGTGGCCCACGCACAGTTTATGCGGGCACCAGACACCCACTTGATTGGTGCAGTGATGACATACACCACCCTATTCTTGTGCTGACACTGATGAAATTCGAACCACAAGGAGTAGAGGTCTTCTGGTTTGTTTGTTTCGATGTGGTCTAGCGGAAGTTAACTGATATTTTAGGGATGCTTGCTGCCTTCAGTTACCCTGATGATGGAGGCGGCAACCATCTGAAAGTCAGTGAACGTCAGAATTTAAATGATCTAATAACTATGTATGCTGGCAAACACGAATGTTATGCTTCATATTTTCATGTAGTTTGTAATGGAGTAGAAATTAATTAACCTTGAGTTGTGAAAAATCCAAAAACTTAAATTCCTTTATGGTTTTAGCATAGTTTGAATTTGATTGAATTGTAATATAAATATTAGAAAGATGTACTTTGAAAGGCACAGAGAAGCACCAGAAGTGATGGATGTGATATCAGGTAGTTCATATTACCAGTGATGTATGGCAGCATGAATATTATGGATGACAGCTTTTCTTCATTTAAACATCATTTTTAAGTAATCATTAATATAATGCACTAATATTCATCATTTCTGTAGTTTTATTAATTATCATAATCATTTGGCAATCCAGTAGTACATGTGGGCATGGTTAGGCGGCAGCACAATCTCTTCAGCCGAAAGATGGATATATTCGTCCCGTAGAATGTTCCTTGCTTACTCTACAGTATAAATAACACATAGAAATTCAGTAGGCCATAAAGTTAACGGATGTAGCTTTTGTTGAGCATCTCTTGGTGTCTGCCAGTGGTTCCCAAATTTTTTTTCTTTTCAGAATGCTGAGCTGTTTGTAAATGATTCTTCCAATTTTAATATTACAGCACGATTGATCGTCACAGTACATAAGAACAGTTTCGTGTTTTCGTCGCCACCTGGGAAAATGTTATTCCTTCAACCTCAGGCCCATATTGCAGTCATTATACCATTCAGTCGGAATAGAGTGGTTAGCACCCGAGTTTTGTATTTGGGAGGTACCAGATGCAAATCTTGGTCCTGAGCAGTCCTCAGTCCTACCCCTCTCCCCCTTACCTTGGTTATGTATAGGTTTAACACGAGCACATTATCATATGACGGTAATTGGACAGGGACAGCCACGGTGGCTAGCGGTTAGAACGCTGGCCTTGTAATCCTGGGACCTCGGGTTCAACTCCCGGCGGTGCCCGAATTTATAACTTGTGTTGGGCAAGGCCGTGGTCTAGGCAACACAGAGTTTTCCTCCGTGGCATCCCAACAGTTACTCCATTCACACACAGAAGAAGGCAATGGCAAACCACTTCTGGATCATCTGCCAAGCACGTATATGAACAGGTCCCAGTCCGAGAAAAGGATCGAAGGATCCTGTTCATATGGACCTGTCGTCAGACAGAACACTAAATAATAATAATAATAATTGGACAGGAAGGGATCGCTTGGAAGGAGACCTGGGCGTAGTCGGGAGGCCAATATTAAATTGTATTGTACCGGCGACATATGATTACAAACATGGCGATCAGTCTTCTGCTTCTATAATATAATTTCTTGACTATCTGACCAAATATTAGTTTCTCAAGAACGTCACGGTTCCGTGGAGCTAGCCCCGGTGTTTTTAATTCTGGAAGAATCGTATACATTCAGGTGTTCTGTTTATCTCGAACCACCACTTTTTGAATGCGATTAATATGGGTTTGTGTATGACAATGCTTGATGCTGCCTCCGTCGAACGCAAGTTTAACATTGGTTTTGTTGGTGAACTGTCATGTGCACGTCAGTACTGTGTCTGCGATATTGGTGTTATGTATTGTTGAGGACAGTACCCCTGTTGTCCCCCTTCAGGTGATGGCCAGTTGTCCCCCTCCCCAGGGACCCAACGCCGCAGAGTGGAACCCCTACGCCTTACGACAGAGGAGAGTCCTCTCATCCAACCCTCAGAGGTGGTGGTTTCCCAGCGTCCTGTGCTTACTGCAGAGCCTGTCCTCACGCCCATAGGTAACATGGTTGTCACTGTACTGACTTCAGCATTGGATAAACTTTTTTCCAAAATTTATACAACTTCATTATAATAATATCTCTCGGAGGAGTAATTGTGTTCGTATTTGTTCATTTCTTCCGAGAAAATTTATTTTGTGAGTAGAATTTTAGGTTTCAAGTTTTTTTGTGAATTTCCGTACGAGGCCGGAACGGGCCGCTACTAAGATCGCTGTCTTCTGGGTTGTTGCGCCGTGTAGTCTCGTAGATGCCCACCGGTATGACCTAACTCCTTGACCCGATGTAGTTTTGTATTAAGTAATCGTATCACTAATTTTGTTCTTTGTGGTTATAATTATGACATTTCTGAGAATGCGGGAACTATTAAGCGTAGCTCAGAATCGGGATAAATAATTATGGTTAACACAGTAGACATAATGAAAGTAGTTTGCAATTTGGAAAAAAGTATATACCACAAGTTCAGTACAGAATTGTGTTTGGCGGCAGGATGTGATGATGCATGTGGCGATGCAATGAATTGTAGTCATTAATCTCGTTACTAACTTACAAATAAATGCGTCTGTTATTTGCATTTCATTTTCGTAGTTTCTTTACAACGTATTGCTTTATGCTTCTATAAGATTTTTAGCATGCTGCCTGTATTGGTACCCATCGCACCTGATATTCCACACATTTTCAGTACCCCTGTTATTTTATGATTTTTAAATATTCTTAACGCCTTCGGTCATTATTACGGAACTGATTTTATTTTCAAAAGGTGGGCGTTTTATATCACCACTAGTTGCGCATACAAATCTTTCGTTTCGATACTTTAATTGGTTATTAATTTCTTTTCTTTTCGAGCGTGAAGGTACCGTAAGCTTTGCTGTCACCTCCATCTAGTGCCAGTTTAAGAATTTATGGAACTTAAGAACATGACAGTTAAAATTATAGTAGTTGATATCAGAATACTGTAATTAGCAAATTGGACTGTAGTTTACGCATTCATGTATAAATATTGCCGTGACGAAGAAGTGCCTGTCTTGTTTTTCATTTGTAAACTAAGGATGAATTTGTGGAAAAATACCCATAATAGTTGTCTGAAGTATACGCATACATTCAGAAGCTACTTAACATTTCGTATCATGTAAGTTGTATCTGGGGAGCAGGGCATAATGACAAACATTTATCTCGCCTATTCGAGCCAGTAGTTTCCTATTTTCGGTCAGTTTATCGAAGAATCGTCGAAGGTAATGTTCGGAATTTCTAAACGCCTTGAAATAACGCGGGCCCTGTGAACTGTGTGGACATTTTCCTCTGTCTGTTGGTAGCCATTCTTGAGATTTAAAGTTCTCGTGGTGGTGAGAATGACAGTGTTGTTTTTGTGGGTTGTAACAACGTCGTGGACTTGTAGGTAGACACCGACATTTCGGGGAGAAACGTACTGTCTCCATCTTCTACCCACAAGATCATTAATAAAATCTTTGAGGATGTCTGAGTTGAAATATCTGAAAATCACAGTAACAAATAAAAATCATGGGAATGTTTGCTGCCATGCATTTCGGAATGTTTTTGTTTTCCCGTCTATCGTATGCAGAGCTGTAATTTTACGTGTTGTTTTGTATGAGTGTTATGCTTGGGCCATCATACTGATGAAAGAACGAGTTGAGGGTTGTTGTGTGTAGGTTTTTTTGGCTGGAATTCAGCGTGTGACTTCGGCTTTTAGGCGAGGGCCGCCTCATGCCCGCCTTGAAAATTGCAAATGCGGTGTTTGCCGAAACGTTCCCTAACACCAAACATTTGATGCGGCTCTCGGCTGATAGCCTAAGTTATACGCGTGTTGAGGATGTCTAAGAACAGAGTGCTTAGGAGAGTATTTGGACAGCAGTTTGTGTCGCTGACTTCCATGCCGAGGGAGAATCAGGTTCTTTTAGGTGCCTCTTTTTCTCACTCCCTCCCTGAAAGCCATCAGAATCACAACTGTTGATTTAATTCAGTAACGAGATTAGGTACGCCAGATATCGACATTCATCATTGTGCCTCATCTCCTTAGAACAACTTCGTCGCAAGGATGAAGCAATCCGATCGGCCCTGGCTGAGAAGCAACGGCTGGTTGCCGATATCCTTCACGTTCCTCGGGAAGAGTTTGAAAATATCGCTGAGTTGGCGGGGGAGCCCTCGGTTGATAAAGAGGCAACAGAACTGGTGTTGGCAGCCGTCAGCCAAGGTACATAAAGTTAGTGCGTCAGGAGCTGTCGGAAATTACAACTGCAGGTTGTGTTGTATCTGAAAAATTATTATTCATCCAATGATTCTGTGACCTGACACTAAGATTTCCTGTCAGTAACTCAAATTATATAGCATTGAATGATGATTAATGAATTTTAAATAAAATATCACTTATGCCTTAGTATTAACTGAATAAGACATACAAGACATTTTTATATGGTGGTAGTCGTACTTTGTAATATGCATAAAATACATCCGTTTATTTCATATTCAAATTTTTGATTACCCATGTTATGTATAGTCATATTATTACCATACAGCAACATATCAACTACATTAACTCAGCCATAGTTCTGGCCGTGTTCCCAAGTATTCTGGTCGACTGAGCTGTCTCGGAAGCTTTCCTTGCAAGTAATGAGCATCGTTGCCAGATGTTGTGAGTGAGTGGTTAGCACTCCTGCCTTATATTTGGGAGGTCCCAGTTTTTCTCAGTCCTTCCAGGCAAATTCCAGGACATGACCTTATATTAGGTCATGACCACTCCTTTCCATATTATTTCCATTTTCTTATTCCTTGGATTCTGGCGATGGTGTGATAAAGTCTGGTTTATCGGTTTTTGGACTTTGTCCATCATCCAAGGTTAAAATGTGAACGACGTTTCGAAAATTGGATCCGTTTTTGTCATCAGAGTAGGTGCCCCCTGCCTAATTTCCGTGAAGACAAAAACGGATCCTTATCTACTGACTACATTGTTAAATAAGCCACAAATAAATAAAGAAATGAGAGTTTTATTTATTTCGATGAATTGCATTTTAAATCAGACGTACCATAATCTTCAGTGTGTGTGGTCCGTTACTTTTCTCTACAGCAAACCAGCTGACGTCAGTTTTGAATGATTCACTGAGAGTGTCTGAGGAAGAAGCCGTGAGTGCCACGTCAGAGGTAGTTCCAGGCAGTTCGCCTCGCGTGGGGAGGAGAGTAGAACGACTGCCGGGTGTCCCTGCCCACAAACTGCAGAGCATTTCAACTGCTCTTAATGCACACCTAACGCAATTACTTGTAAGTCTTCGGAGAATGTTATGACACTGTAATGGCATGCAGAAGATGGTGCTAACCCTCACATCAAATTTCATTTCTTTTCTCCATTTGTGTACTGTCCACAGACCAGGAGAAAATTCCTGCTAGGAATTCGATATATGCGCAAGACTCAATGACAACCCATCCTAAAAGCATTCGTTCCACAACCACGGAACGAACAACAGACGACAGGCTTTCATGTGTTCTAATGGGTACAGCTTTAAGATTACCTCACAGTGGCACAGCGATTTAATCTAGAATATTATCGCAACACCCGCAGAACAGAGTACAGGTGCACTCGCTACACGCTACTCTTAACTGCTTGACGTTTTCAGTCTGTGTAGTAGCGTAAAACTCTGACGTACCACACTTCCCACCAATAGCAGCCCCCTAGTCCACTTGATAGTAAACATTCCCCCTGCACCACCCCAGAAACGACTCCCTCCCGCAGGAATTTTCTCCTGGCCGGTGGACAGTACATATACGTGTGACTTCAATTGTATGTTTTGCAAAGTGGAATAGACATTCCACAGATAAATGAAGAAATGTAGTCGCCGTGTTTCCTTTCTCGTTGATCATCTTTATTTTAATTTTGCTTGTATATGTTTTGAATCTTTTCATAATAAATACTCTCTTCCGTTCGCCGTTTGTATTAACACAGAAGTAAAGGAAAGTAGCAGTTTGCAAATTTAGTAAAATAATTCCGTCTGCTGCAGAAAATAATTAAGGACCGCGATGAGGAACGTGAACGATTACGTCGGGAGCTGCAGAGATCTCGGGAACAGCTTCACGTGATGCATGAAAGTCACCGCCGCAGCCAACTGAATGCTTGCGTCAGCCCTTCACATTCACGGCCCAACAGTCTCATCTCGCAGGAGGGATCATGTGAACCTCACCATGATAGTGATGACGACACAGGTTAGTGCCTCACGAAGTGGGTGTCGTGTTCGAGAGCTAAAAATCTGCCTGCACTTTCCAGTTTCGGATGGAATCTACTTGAATGCTAAAAATCTGCCTGCACTTTCCAGTTTCAGATAGAATCTACTTGAATGTTACATGAAAGTGCCTGAGTGAGAATCCTCATTCAGTCACGTAACCCTGTGGGGAGCACCTGGGGGGGAATCCTCTGTTACGATGTCACCGTGCCAGTAGACAGTGCCAGACACCCCACGTACATATGGTTCATTAACTCGAGATAAGAAATTAATTGCCATTAAGAGAAGTCAGCGGTAACATTCTGATGAATGCCAGAAGCTTACGTATGCTAACTTTTTTATGTATATTTTTTTTATTTAAAGACTGAGAAGATGGTGAAGGCACCACGCTTCGACGTTCTTTGACGTTGTCTTGTACTACGGCTGGAATTAGAAGGCACGGACATGGTCATATTCCAACACGTTGAATTCACGACGCCGGTTGATAGAGTTTTTCCATAACTAGGATTAAATTTTGGCAATTGCAGTAGAAATGTTGCTATGCTTTTAGGTCCCGTGCATGGGGCTTTGTGAAGAACGTTGTGAATGTTGATGATGACCTGATGGCAAAGATGGTCACAGATTTACAGCCAGAAACATCAGAGATGTTGATACACACATTGAAAAACTGTACTCAGATCGTCTTGCAGCGTTAGCCAAAGAAAATGCACAAAAAACTGCCCGTCGTGAAACTTTCATTCTTACCATCTGTAGAATTTACGGGGGTTGAAATTACGTTTTGATGAATTCCTGTTGCAGAACAGATGAAAGGGAGTTACTGGATGCATGTCTGTTTTTTTATGCATGGTAGTAAAATTTGGGCGCTGATTTAGAACACGGGAAATGTCAGCATTCTGTGTGTGTATGGGCGTGCACGTGTGCGGAATGCTCGGCGCGCGCAGCTGAGCATGTGCTTCCAGTGTGTATTGGACACAGATATGGAGTGATGCGAATATTGTTGATTGGGTGTTAAGTATTATCGTAGCTTAAGCTTTGAATGCTATTTGATAAGCTTTATTTTATTAGCGTTGGGTTTACATATTGTTTGCTGTTTGGCTACCAAATGTTTTTCCACTGCATTGAGTATGAGATGGTAGAATTTGGATTATCTTACAAATTTAAAAATATTTTTACATGTTCTTAATAAGCTGATAAGAAGTGTTTTTTTTTTTAAATAAATGGGCTTAATTTCACTAATATTTGAACAGAGCTTGTATATTTAGTTTACCGCAGGGTTCGATCCCTGACGGGGACAGAGGATTGTTCCCCAAGCTCTTGGGCCCACCCAGCCTCCTGTCCGATGGGTATTGGGGTCCTTCCCCGGGGGGGGAAAGTGCGGCCGGGGCGTGATGCTGACCACTCGCCCCCATCTAGTGCTGATGCCAAGAATGAGTAGGAGTTATACTGCCTCTCCCCCCAAGCTCCGATGTGGCGTATAGTGGGACAGCTTTACTTTTTACAGAACTCTAAATTAGCACCAGATGTCACGTCGGTATTCTACGATTTTGCGGATACCTTTAACGGACATCTTTACTTTTGATCATCATCGGCAGAGCAAACATGGACGTCGTCTAGATGTCTCTTTCAATCTACCTGCTGTAATGCCATTTCATTGATGCTTTCATTAGAAAATTCGAAGACACTTAAATAATTTGGTCCAAAACGTCTGCCATTTTAATTGATGCTGTTTCCATGGGTTACAAATCTGCGTGTGTTTTACTATTTATTGCACTTAACACTTTTATTTTTAGTTTCACAATTATTTTTGTTGTTGTATGACTCGTTATTATATAAAGGGAACATATTTCAAATTAAGTAGGACTAGAGGTTTAATTCAAATTGAGAGTAGGTAAGAGTCAGCATCCACTTTCTACTGTGCCGTACTCTTAGAGCTCAACTGCAGTGCTAGGGAAAGCTTTGTTTTGTGATGTAGTGTGAATTAGTGGCAGTTCTGTCGACAGGTTTACACAGGTCTGCTCTAACAGGTGAACATCATGACGAGATTGTGGGTGTGTGTGATCTGGGTACAGACAAGCACTTGATGTCAGAACAGCATGACGACACAGGACCAGATGTAAGTTCACAGATCATGGCCCATTCATAATGGAGATCGTTTTAATGTTTGTTACGTATCCCGTCTCATTCTACTTGTTTTTTATGGCCTGATGATTGGTAAAATGTTTTTTTTACAGTCTCATGTTGTTTCCTGCCTCTTAGGTAAAGCTGACTTATCTTCTGATAGAACTTTATCAGTGCATTAAGTTCTGTGTGACCAGTCCCGCCTATCAGCTGCGCTTGTAATGGTGTGTTGGGCTCACTGACTGACCACTAATCATTTCTGTGCCTGAGTACTACCATGACATTTGATCCCACTAGCTGTATCACATTGCTTTGACAAGGTTGTAATGTGGCTTTACCTAAGTGACTTTGCAATTGTCGTAACATGCGATAACTATGCGACTGCCGTAAGAATGGATGCGTACCTACCCCTCAATCACCTCTTACGTCAGTGACCTGGTCAGTGCTAACATTCACTTGATCCGTAATGCCACCAGAATTGTTCGTTAGTTCCGTATCTTACTCCCTCATATTGCCAGTGGTGCAAGATGGGTATTTGGTCCTCTAGTTGACTTACGTGGCCTGGAATGCCTCTCGATTCACCCGGTAAGCCTCTCCTCTCCAGTTACCACAAGCAATAGCCCTTGGTCCTGCTGTAGCTTGAGCACAAAACGTTCCTCGCTACGTAACTTAACCAGTTTCAAGAATGTGGCGCTGAATGTTGTGTTGACCGGTGCGCTGTGCCCGGTGCTTGCTTCTGTATTCACAGAATGTGGTCTGTGACAATTACATTATCTGCAAAATAATTGCTGTACGTAAACCATTTTTTCAGCTTTGTATCTCATTTTGTAATTTGGCTGAACATGAGTGCACTCTAGGATATTGAATCTGCCGTGCATTGGAGAGGAGAAGGTAATGTTGATCGCCTACCAAGGGCCTGCATTGGAGAGGAGAAGGTAATGTTGACCGCCTGCCAAGGGCAGAGGCACGTATGAATCCCTCAGAGTGAAGTGCGATATCGTTTGCCTACCTCTTTGAGGATTGCAGTTTGCTATGTATTTTTTTTATGAAGGCATGGTACTTTGCACGTTTTCTGTGTATCGTGGTAGTAACATCGAGACCGAAAGGAAGATTTTTTAAATCATTATGGTAAAAGAAATTCCCTTGTATAGTCTTAGATTTAAATTTAGTCATGAATGTACATTTGTAGTTTAATTGTAACCTAACCCAACCCTCAAGCTTTTCCAACACAAGATGAATGTCTTTTCCTGTGGGAGATTTGAGAATTTGACATGAATCAAGTAGAAGGTACACTGAAGTGTGTGGCAGGTGGGTTGCTTAGGTGTGTCCGAGTGTGTGTTTGGCGTAAGTTGTGTGAAATATGGTTTTATTATTTACGACCATGTGCATGTGCCTCTGTGTCAAGATGTTTGGAAGCAAGTAATTATTGTGTGCAATATGACAGTATGTTTGGAAGCAAGTAATTATTGTGTGCGATATGACAACAGGAAGATCCTGAACATACTTTCATATTTTGTTAATGTTTTATTGCTCTCAAATTGTGTAAGAATTAGAAGGATATGAAGTTTTCATCGGGCCTCGGTCCAGAAGTACGTCATCAGTAAGAAGTTCTGGAACGCCATAATTCTAATCATTTGTAAATTCCTTGTATTTGTCTGTACGTGATTTCTCTTGGGTTTCCTTTAATTACATTTAGTTACACTGGATCTCAAAAGTAAAGGTACCTTATTTGAAGAAAAAGTTTAATTACCTAATTATAAATCTCATCTTATTAAAGATGCCAGGTCTAGACAATAGCCTTTTTAAGGACTATCATAAAGTTATTTCCTTTTTTTTTAAACCATCGATAAAGAAATTTGGGAAACAGTGATTTATGATGATGGCTGTCTTTTGATTTATATCAGTGCCTTCTAGATCTGTTACTGGTCGGACAAGCCGCAATCCTGCTGACTTGTAGAGTCTTGAAAAATGTATTTTTTATTTATTCAGATGCTCCCTTTTATATGAAATAAAATGGCAGAGGTAAATGTGTTGCTTTCAGGTGTTTGTTGATGCTCTGTCCGGTGAAGCAGAGATCCAGCTGGAAGCTGAATCTGAGTTAATGACCAAAGCAGCTGAGGATTTGGAGGCAGTTACCAATGATTCACTGACAGGGGAGTCCAAGGTTGATGACATTTGAAGAGGTGGCCCGTGGTCGATGGGTCATCTGCTCTTCCCTCACGTCAGTTTGGAATGGGGCACGATGTCCTGTTGCGTTGGTTAGAAATGCAACGGTTCTCTCTATCTCTGCCTTCCCACTTAGCAGGTCGAGTGCTAGTCGAATGTCACGCAGCGTTTGTCAAAGGGACACAAAAGTTTTGATATTTCTGAAAGTGCGTGCTGTCACGTCCTTTGCGTAATGAAGACTTTGCAGGGGAATCGGAGACATGGCATATGAATTAGGATGTGATACTCCAGTAAAATAAATTGCAAGTCATATCCTTGTTTGGAAGAGTACTTTTCAAGGAGCATATATAAAATTAGTTTCATGCGTTCGTCCTGTGACGTTGTGAATATATTACACTGAGTCGCTATAAAATGTAAATCTTCACTTCTGTACAGGCATAGTTTTTTAATGTCAAATATTTTCGAATTACAGAAAAAAAAATGTATGAAATGAACCTGCTGTACCAAATTAGAAGCGGAATTCTTTTTTAATCTCTGTCTAGCTTGTTTCTTTTCTATTCAGACTTTCTTCCGTGGAATTTCTGTTGAAAATTGTTTTTTATTGGCTAAGAGGGAAAAAAATCTTATACAAGAATGCGTGAATGAATCATAGTGCAGAAGCTTAATGTGTTAAATGGAGAAGGTTTTCCCACTCGTCTAAAATGCCTTTAATTAGTGCCTAGCGGGATAGCGAGAAGACTTACTCGGTGTCGTACTCTGTGTCTGCAAAGTGCAGCGCGCCATAGTGTGCGTTATAGAAATGTTTTGCTGCTAACCTGTGCCGCAGGCCAAGTTCCACAAGATCCCACGCATTGCGATGTGATGGCTTCTGAAACACATTGAATATTACCAGTCGCTGTTTAATATTTTATTTTTCGTTAAGATGTGTCATTATGTACTGCAACGTGTCGTGTAAAAGTACAGAACATGCCAATCAAGTTTTTTATTTCAAAGGTTTTTGGAAGAGAGAAAAAAATATATTTTTTATTCATATTTTCAAAGAAGTTGATTTGGGTTACACAAATTGTGTCGATATTCAAATATAACGTGGAATGTGTTCTGGAATCATGGGTTAGCGTGTTTGTCATTATGGTCACCCCCATTTGAGCTAGTTAACGATAGATAGAAACTTAAAGAAATAAGAATGCAGTTTAATATCCGTCTTTGCCATCGGCCTAGTAAAATATAATTTTTTTTTATACATGCGCTATTTTCTCAAAGACTTTGGTGAATATATGTGTGTCCATAGCATTTATTAAATGTTCTGCCTCTCTTTGATAAAAGCATGTTGGCATCTTCTGCTTTCTATTCTAAAAAGCTGGGTATGTAATTTATTATCGTGTATCGTGCTAGTTGTTCATGTAAATCTGATAACTGAACTGTGTAAAAAAAAAGAAAGTGCGATGGCATAATTTTAGTTCACATAAATTTTCAGTTTGTTCATGTAATGCAGAAACCAATATTACTTGCAGTCATTTCGTAGGACGGAGGTACGTTAAAATATAAACGCCACAGTTATAATAAATATGCTATGTGAAATGATTAGAACATCAGTGAAAGTGGGTTTTTATTCCTAGTAGCAATGTTCAAATACATTAATTAGCATATTATTTCCAAATGATCTCCAGTTTTGGAGAATGTATAAAATGCTGTGCTATCCATATTATTATGTAACATAGAGTGGAATATGTAAACTTCTTTTGGGCAGCAGATTGGCCGGACTGACGGCGTCCTCGTTCAAGCACCTGCTCTTACTGTTACCGGGGCGACAGAATAACATTGTACATGGTATTTTAACTGATGATTATAGTAATAACATGTGTTAACATCTAAATATTAATAAGACAGATGCCTCACAAAGCCAAACAAAACTCCCATAATCAACCAAAATATAACTTGCATTATTAAGTATACAGGAAAGAATAAATACATTCATAATTGTACAATACATTCTATGAAAAAAATGTATATAGAACTGAAATAAATAAATATAAGTGATACACACGGAGTAGTTATGTTACTCTGCGTTTATATCCAAACCTTATCTTCTCTTAGGCCCTTTGCAGAGTTGACCCATGTTCCTAGGCGTTTGCAGTATGTAATAAGCTTATATACAGTGTGTTAATAAATTTTTAACATAATTAGGTTAATTTAAAAAATACGAAAAAATTCTGTGGGCCATATTCTTGGTTTTTTAACAATGAAAGCCTCGCTGTCCATTGAAGCAGATTACATAAACACAGCATATACATGGAAAATGCTACATAATTTAATTTGGAAGTATCTATGTGAGCTTAAAGGAATGCAGAGGTGTGTGTCTCACTGACATGCTGCAGGAAGAAAGAAGCATAACCTAGAATGCATTGTTTCAAGCGTGTAGTTTTATTTTTCATGTGTTGTGCCATCATTTCTGTATTTCATTTGCAGAAGGAACATGAAGAAAGATACCGACTGGTTCATCATCTGTGAACACAAACATTACAATGTTACTCCATATTCACAATAGGTTGATTTTGCGGTGATCTGTTGCTGTGGGAATATAAATCAATTTATTTCCATTTAAGTTTAACTTTTAGTGTTTAATTGAATTGTATAATGTCTGGAAAACAATACGAGAAAAAATCAAGTGTTTACAGTTGTTGCCGTTGTGGAGGTAATCCATATTCATGAATTAATAAAGCCATCAACAAATATGATAGAATAAATCTACATTTCTAGAAAGAACTCTTAGTCGACTTAATGAAATACTTATTACAATATCTTGATTAATTGGAATTAATTTATTTTTGATTTGAGTACAAAGGGTTTTTGTAGGTTATGTTTTGTTAGGCGATTGCTGTAGCCGGTCAATGGCCACAATCAACAGTTACAAATTCATTAACAATCTTTACATAGAATTTTCAAGCAGTTGTGAGTTCTATGTTGGAAGCACTGTTTTGTATGATGGATGCCATTCGGGGTTTGTTACTCGTGCCTTTAAATTGTCTAAAAAGATAACCCAATTATGCTTCATTTTTTTTAATTATGTGTTTGATAACTACTCCAACATGAACCGTGATAAAGGGTCGGGTCCTCCAGGTTGGGGGGTTTGTGCGGTTAAGTTGGTAACCTCTCCATGTTAAAAATGAATTACTCGAGAAACTTCACAGAAGAACGAGTGAAGTCGGAAAAGGCTTTAGCCTAATCCCTGAAGTGAAGAAGAAATTTTGCCCGTCAGATGTAGACTTTTGTGGGAATTTATCGGTAAATTTGAGGGCTAGATAGGGACTTTTCTTATGGTGTGACGCCATGCCGGCAGTTCCGAAAGAATGGCGAATTCGGGTGAGGTGTTTAAGATTGGTGACGAAGATTTTATGTGATTTACAAAATAATACGAATGGAGGTAGTGGTGAAATAGTTATTGTGTTGACAGCAGTGATGGATGTGTATATACAAACAAGAGCCACTCCGATGGTGACTGTAATAATGTATCTTATAGTGACATGAAGACGTTCCGGTAAGCGGATGGGCTACAGTCGGTAAAGAGCTGCCAGGGTTTCCGTCAAACTGCTTATCGTGGCATACAAGTAAGTGTGAATGATATTCTTATTTTGATTTACAGGGTGTGATTTATTCTTAAACATCAGGCTTGGCGATCAGAGGAACTTTTATGTCGGATATAGTGAACTGAATTTTTTATTTATCTCAATCTTAAAATGCACATACATGTTGCTGTCTGAACACGTGCCGGTGACTTCTTGTGTGTGTTATTCTCCGTTGTAAAACCGTAGTTCGGTTTAGGTTTCACTGCCCAGTTTGTCTTTTTGTTGCTTGAAACATTTGGTTATCTGACATGACCTGTTCTTGGAATCCCACACCATCGGTATGACTAAGGAATATATCTTTTGCATGACAGGGGTTGGTAATAGCACATATTTTCAGCTTGGAGACGAGTGTGCCGAACCGTGCCTTATTAGTTTGGTTTATCGTGCGCTGATAACTGCTCCTTGTATTATATTAGGAATTTTAATATATCTACGTTAGTCGCAAGTTACATGCGTTTCTTAAGGGGAGATTTGTATTGAATCTAATGAATGCCAAAAAAACAATTAACTGAAGAGAGTGGGTTTTCGTGTCTCCGTTGTTCCTAAGTTATACAAGTGTTATGAGGCCTAATGGAACCAACACGGAAGAATTTCGATAACATTCTAGAAGAAACAATGTACCAGGAGATGGAAAAATCATAAGTTCCCTTTTGAAGATCTCAAGGACGATGAATTTGTAATGAATGGGCTTTGCTAACGAAATCCTATGTTTAGGTGTAGACTGCTGATCAAAACGCCTTCAACGGATGTAAATAGTTGCGAGAGGTAGATTTTCATACGACGAATAAGAAATCTTTCCACACCGACAACGTTGTTAACACTTGCATCGCAGAGAATAAGGCGCTAGTAGTGTATGTAATTATATGTTGTTTGTTACGTGATTTTAACGGGTGAAACGCTGTTCGACTGCATTTGTACTTATCTGTTGGCCTGTGCTACATTCACAAAACGTGTTCTCGTAAGGAGCTCCGAAATATTTATCCTAGTAGTGGCAAAGCTGAAATGCTGCCATGCTGTGTACACACGGAACATCCCGTGGCCATTTCACCAGGAGATCTTTCCACTTTGCATTAAAAACCTTGGACATCGTGTATTTCAGGAAAGTAACCTTCGCGGCTGATGAAGGAGAGCTGTGTTTTAATTCTAATTGCGGTAATGCGGTTATTGTTAATCGGCCGACTAGAATATCGGATAATAATAATATTAGCCAGAATCAAAGCTGTGTTTATCTTTTCGCTTCTGTGGATGATAAGTGCATATGTTCCTTATATAATCATACTTAAAATAACCGTACGTTCATCATCGTGGTGTTGGAAACGGGAACAAATTTCCCGGCTGTGAGTGTGAACTCCTTTTGAGCTGTTGCAATGACGAAGGCCAGGCAGCGCTGGAAATGTACAGGAGTACCAACCCAGTCGCATCCCCAGGCCGAATCGCCCACACTCTCCGCCTGCAACATTTGAAATCGAATTTATTCTCTTGAATGCGCGTTCACATGAACTTCAGTTTTACTGGTAAGAAGACGTGAACTTACCTGCGCGGTCAACTCAGTTCCCAGCCTGCAGAATATGAACACACTCAGCAGCAGAGCGAAATAGGCTATGACGGCTTGTATTACGTCTGCAGGGTGGCCCCAGCTCTGAAAATAAGAATATACGGACGAATTGGTATAAATGACACTTTTAATTTTATATACAGAGGCCTGACATTTATTTGATAATATTTCAGATTCTTCCACTCTGTCTAAAAATCTGAAGATTATGTTCTTTTCGAACCAAAGACTAATTTTACCTGTTGTTTTCTATGGGTGCGAATTTTGGTGTCTCTTTATAACTGAATAACAACTTTGGGTAGATTTAATAACAGATTCTTGGGGAGAATATTTTGATTTGAAGAGGATGAAATATTTGGAGACAAAGAAATTGCACAGTGAACTCTTTACCAGATGTGAAAAAGTGATCGCTTTGAGGACGAACAGATTGGCGGTGCTTGTTGCACGCATGAGTCGATAACAGATTGAAGCAAAATTTGGTTGGAAACACTAAATGGGGGTAAATAGTTCGGGAAATGCGGACGTAGAGAGAAGAATGTTATTAAATTTGGCCTTGAGAATAGTGTGACAATGTCGGCCCTTCTCATTTAGTTCCACCTTATAACGCTGTCGGTCGACGTTGCTATTGCGTTCAGATGTTGGCAGTTACGAAAAGAGTACTGTACCATGACTCCGGAGAAGGCCAAGCAGCATAATGTAATTAGTATGATGAGGAACAGGCCACAAAAGCAGGGATTGAACACGTCCTCAATTTCCTGCATGAACCTGTGGAAGAGACACGAACAGATTGTAGGAAGCAATAGAGTAGATTTTTCTGATTTATTTTCTGTTCTTCAGTTATACGTCAAAATGACAAGGGGGCATTTATTCTGTACGTGACAGATTTACGACGCTCAAGATCTGCTTCGATTCAATTAAGAAAAATTTCTGATTTCCGTATTAGCCGTCGACGTTATTCGTTTCTTATTTAGAAATGATTTGAAAAATTTCGATCTGTTTACTCTAGACTGGTCTAGGGGCTGGCAGGGCAGACCATCTGTCGGACACGAGGTCGTAAGAGATGTTCTGAACAATGTAAGTCCATACTTTCCAGTGGATGTAGAACATTTCTTGCACATGAGTAAAAACCAGAAACTGTCGATACAGATGCAGTATAAGGTTTGGGGATTAAATGAGTCCAAGGACCCAAGTTTTCGGCGTTACTTTTAGAAACTTACTTCCACCATCAGACTCGTGATGTCAGATTAGCTTAGACATTTATAAGGAGGAGTCATTCCAGATGCTCACCTTTTTATCTCCTGGTGATGACGTATGCAGGCATTGAGCTGATCCTGCATGCGACTGAACGTTCCCTCGTGCTCTGAGGTCTCCTGTTTGATGTCCAGGAGAGCTGCCCTCAGCTTCTCCAGCTGACTGCACGCCACACACACCATCACGCCATATAGACACGTGAAGGTCATCAATGTGGTTATAATCGCAAGTGAGCCAAATATCTGCGCGCGATAACAGTAACGTATGGGTGTGAAACTTGGTTTATTCTGCACCAAGGCCTGATAATGCATGAGAACGAGGTGATGAGGGGAACATCTAGGCTTAACAGGGACAAAGCAACCGAATGATGGAGAAATTAGCGTAATGACATTTAATGGTTACCGAATTTTGAGATATTACTAACTTTTTTCCTGCAGCCTGATATTAGGACACAGGGAAATCAGTCATAAAATGACTGCAGTGTCGAGAAAGACTTGTGGTAAAATTAGAAGGGGTAGAATAAATTATTAAACCACTTTTAATTTGTTGAATTTCAAATTCATAAACATTTGACTGTAAGACTTTACAGAAACTCATTATTAAGCTTTCTGTGATGTGATTTCATTTCTGATGATTCTCTACAGTTGCTGTTAGTTGTCCTGCAAAACCCTCGAAACATTTTTTGTTTGTTTTGGCAAAATATACAAGTTTATACTTTATTATTTTCATTTTCAGTTCAAGCAAAATGCATTTGAGTCCCGAATGTGGGCCGCGCTTACCTCGGAATGCAAAATGATCTTCTGCAGACATTTATTACAGAAGTGAAGGTTTCCCAAAAATTGCGTGCCGAACATGGGGGGGGGGGTCACTCATTGGATCATTTGAGTGATAAATGTATCGGCATTGGTCGAAAACTCAACTGTTAAAATCTATTTCCGTTATTATTCTGACCTTGTGACCCCCATTCTCTTGGACCCACAAATTACACTTATTTTCCTCTAAAGTAACACGTGTTAAATGCAGTATTTTTGAAACGACTGCTTTCATAGAGGCGTTTGGAGTTGTACAATTAGAAGTCACTTCTACATACTGGTTTTTTCAGCTCCAGCTGAGAACGTGGACTCAGCCATCACTTCGTGCTTCCTCGTGGAGATGTTTGTTACGTGTTTCGTTTTACATGCGAATAGGTTCCCAGGTTTTGGTCGGCGATGACTTCTCTAACATTTTACCCGGATTCTGTGACGGATTTGCACGGAAGCGATTGAAAATTATTGGTGTTTGGTTTTGGAACAGTCGTCAGCGATATTTTAAACGACTTCCATTTATATCCTAACTTTACAACCCACGTTGTCTTAATCAATTCTTTAAATAATGTAATTTTATACCACAGTGCTTCTAATTCTGTGATAGCACAGATGACCAGGCAATCGATTTCTGATTGAGGCTTAATTCCTTAATGTTCCCGTTCGACTTTTTTTAACAAAGAGTTGCCGGAACAAAATATTTTATTGAAATATCAATTACCATAAATAAATTTTAAAACCCCTTTTAACCGACATTTATGTCGTTTTCACACATAAAAAATTGTTCGTCCACCATGTTGGTTTTCGTGACTGTATGAAATTAAGAATTACGTGTTTTCGATAACGCACAATGATAAGATAAATTTTAAAACCCCTTTTAAGCGACATTTATGTCGTTTTCACACATAAAAAATTGTTCGTCCACCATGTTGGTTTTCGTGACTGTATGAAATTAAGAATTACTTGTTTGCGATAACGCACAATGATAAGATTGGTCGAAATCCGTTCAGCGATTCTGGAACTGAAACATGGTGATGGACAGAGAGGAACAGCCCTTTGTTCCGTGCAAAGAACACGCAAAACAAAAGAGTGAATTAATAAAATAAAGAATAACAACAATTTCACTCCACAAAATCGCCATAAAACTGCATAATTTATGTTAACTGGGGGACGGAGTCTCAGGAATATAAGCGGAAGGGCATTACAACCAAGATGTTTTAAGTAGAAGATGAACACGCAACGCAAACAGAAGGCAATTAATTTCTATCTCATGCAGTTAATACGGACAGACGTTTTCAGGACGACAACGGATGCCCAGATGTAACAATGAACTAACAACAATTAAAACTTTTACAGATCCTGAACAAATTCGATTTACTTACACACGGAATTACTGCATTACATGTTAAGTAAATTGTGTCTAGCAGTAACAATGGCTGTGAAAATGTTTATACAACATAATAACAGAACTAGTATTAGTGATTTATGAACATTTCTAGTTTTTAACAAATCAGAAGTAATCGTTACCTCTGAGATATTCGTTATTTGCAAGACCAGCATTGACGAGTTGTCAAATGGGTGCCACGTTTCAAACATCAGGAAGTAATGTTTCGCTCTGATTATAATTGTGCTGGTTATGTGATATCCGTTGATAAAAATTATTGCACACAGCATGTATCTCTGAATTCGAGTGATCAGTCCAGCCATTGTTAAAACTTTCGTATCGGGGTCGGTTTCTGGTTGGTCCTCCCATCTGAAGGATTCCGTGAGAGCAAACAGGCCCTCAAAAGCAGATTTACGAATCCTGAAAAAACAAATATGTAAGTTCTCTCTGATATATTATACGGCACACAGTCATTATGATAAGAGAGTTGTTCAGTGTCCCTCTGAATTACTTTGAGCAGAGCCACGCTGACAAATGCACTCGAGTTTTCCAAACGCTTTCTTTGCAATTCATTGCTACCTCATTGGCCTTGGCCTTGGCCTTGGCGTTTGCTGACTGCAGATCGCGGTCAATTGTTACGAAATTAATGACGCGGGCGGTAATCGCAATTTATTTTATATCGTTTACTGTTGAACATTCCGTGCATTTAGAACATTTTTAAACCAAGTTGTGAATCTTCGTGTTGCAACATCATGCAACAATCATTTCGAGCGATTTGCCTGAGAAAAGTCTCATTTCCAGTTCGTGTCAATTAGCGATGCTTTTACACCAAAACGAACAATACATAAACAGGCCGGAAATATGAGTGAAGATACGAGGTTCTCGCGCCTGTGAGATACCAGCGTTTCGGAGATACATATTTGTTCCATCTTCATTGCTAGTTTCAAATGGGGACGGTATGTTTCTTAAAACACTGGTGTCTGCGTACAAGTGAACACGGCGTTTCTACTAAGAGAATAAAAATATTAACTAACATTAGTATTTTAGCGATGTATCAGCTGCTGGGATTCTGTAGCGTCAAATGGTAGCATGTCTAGCGCATAATGACTTTGAAAGGGACTGCAAGAAAGCGGTCGTGGCCAAATTTAAGTTATTATCTCGACGTACCTATGGAGGGACTGAACAAAAGTACGGAAAACTTAGGATAACCTGGCCGTGTTCTGGGTTGTAGCGCCGTGTATTCTGGGACAAGTTTACCGACGTTTCATAGGTATTTGTTGGGTCCATCGTCAGGGCCACGACTCAAAAATCTCTGAAACGTTGGTAAAGTCCTACCAGACTACAAGGCGAAACAACCCAGAAGTCAGCCATCTTCGGACTCACCGCCTTGAAAATCTCAGATCCTACTCGGTCGATCTTTGTAATGGTGAAGTGCAGTGTTTTCTTCGCGGTACGGACTGAATTATATTAAATGTTACTTAGACGAGCTTCGTCTTCAAAGGGTCACACTCGCGTTTTAAATTGCCTGCATGCGGTTACATTTGTTCAGGACACAAAGAACAATTCTCACGAAAAAGATGGCTCTCTTCTGGGTTGTTGCCCTGATGATGGAAGCAGTAACCACCTCTGAAAC